CCTGAAGCTTCCCCAGCTCAGAGAGGGGTCGTCTGGGGGTTTCCACCAGGCCCAGGGTGGGACAAGGCTGGACACCCCGACCCCAGCCACTAGGCCCTCAGAAGTGGGCGCTGGTCTCACACCTACCAAACGCTGGCCTTGACCTAAGCCCACCTCCAGGGCCATCCCCCCAGGTCCCGGCAGTTCCCAGTAACCCCATCTATTCTTTCTGCAGTCAAACGAAGGGACACTACTCCCGAACCTCCATGCGCCTGCTGCAGATGTCCACGTAAGTCAGCTGTCCCCAGGAGGTGGCCCATGGGGGGACAAGTGTCCAGGCAGGTCCACCTCTGTGCTGAACCCCGGCCTTGTCTTCCACACCAGCTGTTGTTACCCCGGGAGGGCCGTCAGTCTTCATCTTCCCTCCAAAACCCAAGGACACCCTCTTGATCGCCCGAGCGCCCGAGGTCACGTGTGTGGTGATGGATGTGACTCAGGATGACCCCGTCAAGTTCACCTGGTACGTGGATGGTAAGAAGGAGAACACGGGCAAGATGAAGTCGGAGGAGGTGAAGTACAACAGCACCTGGCGCGTCGTCGGTACCCTCCCCATCCGGCACAACGACTGGCTAGTGGGCAAGGAGTTCAAGTGCAAGGTTGAGAACAAAGCCATGCCAGCCCCCATCGAGAGGACCATCTCCAGGGCCAAAGGTGGGACACGCACAGGCGAGGGCAGGGTCGTGGGGGGTTGGCCCCTGCCTGAAAGTGACCGTCTGTGCTGACCTCATCACACAGGAACTCCCCAGGAGCCACAAGTGTACATCCTGCCCCCACACGTGGACGAGCTGACCAAGAACAAGGTCAGTGTGACCTGTCTGGTCAAAGACTTCTTCCCACCCGACATCAACGTGGAGTTTCAGAGCAACGGGCAACCAGAGCGAGAGAACAAGTACAGCACGACCCCGCCCCAGCGGGACGCGGACGGGTCCTACTTCCTGTACAGCAAGCTCACCGTGGACAAGGACAGGTGGCAGCAGGGACACACCTTCACGTGTATGGTCATGCACCAGGCCCTGCACAACCACTCCACCCAGAAATCCATCTCCCGAAACCAGGGTAATTGAGCCACGCGTCCGGCGCCCCAGTGAGCCCTACCCCGTGTACACACCCGGGCCCCCGGCATGAAATAAAGCACCCAGCACCACCCTGAGACCCTGTGTCACTGTCATGGTTCTTTCTGAGACACAGCTCAGGCTGGCTTCTGAGACTGGTTGTCACCATCAGGGGGAGAGAGGCGGTCCCACCCGGGCGAGACGCAGAGCCTGTGGGTCTGCACAGTCCTCCCAGGACTGGGGAGGGGGCTTTCTTAGCTGCCCCCAGGAGGCTACTCCTAAGGCCCCCTGCCAGTGGCTGCTCCAGGCTGGACGTGTGGATGGGGGACAGGGCCCCTCGGGAGCCCCTCGGGATATGAAAATCCGGCTTCCCCATCTCTGTACAAGCCTGTGCTGAGACAGTGTGTCCTTGTCTCCCGGGTTCCCCATGCACTGGTCTCTCTGGGGCTCTGTGTCCACACAGGAGGCATGCCTGGCCCATGGGGTGGGGACAGGCCCTCCTTGCCCTCGCAATCGGGCCTCCCACCCTCCCTGAGATGCAGTGGTTCTGCCTGGCCTTGTGTCGGCCTGGGGCCAGGCCTGTCCTCTCCTGAGCACTCAATCTCATGATCCAAAGGGGCAGAGGCAAGCAGGCTGAGGGCCCAGGGAACAGAATGTCCCAATGCCCACATGGACACCGAGCCCAGGCCCATTGAAAACAAGCACTCTTGCTGAGCAGCGCCAGCTCACGTGGCCACTTCACACATGCACATACATGCCCACACACAGGCCTTATACTCTAGGGCCTCTCACGAGGCACCCTGCACAGGTCCAGACCACAGCGTGCAGCATGTCCTGTGAACCCCCACAGTAGACACCAGCCTGGCCCCACCCACTTCAATGCCCCAGCAGCCGCTCCGTGGCTCATCCACACACTGACCACCTCAGACACCAGCCCTCCTCCTGCCCAGAGCACCTACACCCTCCCG